GAGAACCATGTACTGACCCTGACAGGAAACCTACGAGGTTTGTTGTTCTGGATTTCTCTCGAGTAAGTGGGATGGATGCGACTGCGGCGCGTTCGTGTTTCTTGGTGCTCAAGCTTTCATTCAGTCTTAGTAAAGTTTGTGCGGTGTACTGCGGGATGAGACCCAGCGTCGAATTTCTTCTGAGAGCCAACGATGTCATTCCCGATGCTCAAACACAAGAAGAGGTCATCCAAGTCGAGACCAGGCAGAGAGAATGCTACGTCGCATCGGACTTGGATCTAGCACTCGATTGGTGTGAGCAACAGCTTATCCTGTCAGCAGCAAAATGGCGTTCAATTCGTTCAGGACAGCACTTAATTCTATCGTCATTAAAGTCATCCGCTCTGCCACTAGCACAAGTTTTTGCGGCGTACTTGTCGGATACTCGAAAAGGCGATCCAGCGACGCTACAACACTTGGAAGAACTTGCTCAGTTATTCAATGTGAGTGAATGGGAAACTCAGAAGAATCTTTTCCAGGTCGGTGAGAGATCCAACGCGTGGTTTGTATTGCTGCGAGGAACGGTCGAATTACTGACAATTCCAACGGAGGCTACACTGGCGTCTTACTCTCCAAAATCTGAGCAGGCAGAGCCCACCAGGTTTCAGGACTCATTCAATACTTTAAACAACCACAAAAACCAGCCGTCCACCCAGAGGGAACTCGTGGGACGTGTCCGACCTGGCTGTATCTTTGGAGACATGGATTTTATGCTGGAGCAGCCGCGTGTAATGGACGCCACATCCACCGCAGCGGACACGCTTACCTGTTCATTCACACGGAAGGAGATGGTCGAGTTACGTGATAATCACCCCGAGTTGGCTCTACTTCTTCATGAAATTCTGTTGAGAGCCTCGTACATGACTTTGGCGGAGAAACTTCATTCGCTTGCTATTTAAGTTTGTTTTTTTACTTGCGGTGACGTCGGCGGTGAAGAATTTCGAGAACCTACCAGAAAATGTTACGAATGTTAGTACGGCACACATTGTCCGAGCAGTGGATAAATAACTTACCCCATCCGAACCTACAGCATCTTCTAGTTGGTTTTCCATTTCCGATCGCATCAAGGCCGATTTCAGAACACTGCAAACGTGTTCCTCGACTTCTTCCACTCGTTTATCCTTTGATTTTCTTTGCAGATCGAAGATAGTTCTATTGGAAGCTGAACGTGATCCCAGTCGACTTGGTGGCGCATGAGATACTCGACAAGGAGATTGGTGTGCGACCGATTCCAGACAAGCCGCAGCAGACGCAGGTCGTGAGCGCACAGACAGTTGTGTCAATGCCTGCAATCTGGTTTTCTGTACCATTGGCTGCGGAATACCATACACAGTCAGAGGCTTTCTCACGATTGGCTGGCGATGTTGAAGTTGTACTTGTTGGGGATTCTCCCACGCGACTTGAGCCGATCGCAATTGCCGGAAACGCGCCGTTAACTCCGCCAGTAGGAGGTCTTTTTCTTGTTGCGCCAATTCGGCTCGTACAAGCGATACACGCTGTGATTCGGCTCTATTGGCAGCAGCTTCCAGCTTATTTTCAAGAGTCTGTACCTGAGACTTTAGTGCCTCCAATCGAGCGTGAAGTCCGTCCAAATCCGTTTCAGACCATGGGCCGACACAAATTCCGAGTTGGTCGTAAGCACCTTTCATCAACCGCTTCAAACGACTGTAATCACTTTCGAGGCTTATGGTACGAGAAACGCTTTGGCGTTTGTGTTGTGGTCGCTCCTGTTTGTCTTTAGCCTCTGCAGCGCACAAACTTTCTAGCCGCTGAAGTACGTGACGTCTCTCGTGACTGATCCGAACATTCAATTGCTGTCCAAAACGTCGTTCGAATTCATACTGCAGACGGATCTCGAGCTCCTTTTGCGTCTCCAGTGAGGTAAGCAGCGTAATTGGTGTGGCAACTTCTCTTGTTTCTAGACTGAGAAATGACTCCACAACACGCTCCAAAGACCTCGTACCACTCGTCTCCGAAGACTGAGCGTTGCTCTCCTTCTGAGTCTCTCTCCATTTGTTCACTGCGTGTTCAAACTCACACCATCGCACTTCGATGTTCGTCACACGCTCCAGCCGATTCATCAATGCTGCTAGTTGGTCGCGGGTGGCGTCTTCTAGTCTCTGGGAGTCAACAAGAGCTTGCTCCCGACCCTGCGCTAGAGCTTGCAATGTATCCAACTTGCCCTGTAAACGCGCATTTTCATTTGCAGCTTCGACAAGTTTCTTGTCATTGTCAATAAGTGCTAAACGCGCTTCTCCGAGCAGTTTTGTGGCCTTCGCTTTCTCATTGTCTGCTTGTGCCAGAGCGAGCTGTGTATCACGTAGCCGCTGCTTATCACTATCCCAAGTGCTTTCAAGTTCACTTACACGAGCTTTCAACTTTTCCACGGTTTGTGTGGCTTCTTTCAGCGACTGCCGGAGTTGAGGCACTAGCAATAGCTCGTTCGCCGTGAACGGAAAGCCTTCCGAGTCTCGACTCGTGCTGTTCTTGCTACTTTTGTCTCCGCAGGAGCGACTCACGTTGTCAGCATTCCTACTTTCACTATGCGAGAGACTGGAGACTCGCGCTTTCGGTCGAGACATCGATCTTACCAGTGTATTTCGTAGCTGCTGAAGTTCAGAGCGTGATGTTCGAACCGCCTCCAGTAGCTGAGTGTTAAGAGCCTCAAGCGAATCGTTCGACGCACGCATGTCGCCAAGTAGTGCTTGCAAATGGCTTTCTCGCGCGTTATGTTCTTCTGTTAGCTGGCGTTCTCGTTCAGCTAAAATTGCAGTAGCCTGGCGAGCTTCTTCTAGACGTAAACACTTTTCCAGACGCGCTACTCGCTCTACCTCTTTAGCTGAGGCGGTGCGTACTCGACGCACCGCCGCTTCTCCCTTTTGCTCTTGCTGATGGACAGCACGTTGTCCATCGCGTTCAACCTTGGCCAGGGTTTGAGCCAAACTCTCTGCTACCTGTGCTGCGTGTTTACTGACACTCGTGGCGAGATCGTTAAGCTGGTTCGTGAGCACATCTTGAAGTCGGTCGTGGAAAGCGGTGATCTGTTTGCGCCACGCGAAATCTCCACGAATGAACTGAGAGCAGTCGTCAAAGTCACTCTGCAACGACTGCACGCTCTCGTGTAGAGCCTCGCTCTCTCGTTGTAACATCAACTCGAGTTCTGCCTTCCACACTGCGAACGCGAAAGTGGGAGTAGCCGATGAGGTAGAAGAATCCTCGGTGGAGGATTTCGCGTAATCTTGGGAGGCTTCTGGGTCTTTATCTGTGCATGATTCAGCTGGAAACGTCTCGGCGGCTTCGCTTGCGCTGTGGTCGGTTGTCATTTGCAACTAATGTTGAAGATGTTGAAGGACTTAGGACTCCTAAGTTAGGACTCAGCTTCAGCCATGTTGTTTCGTATTTTTAGCTTAGAGTTCTTTGAGTTCGAATGGCCGTAATAATAGTTCCTGGTCCTGATTGTTAGACGGATCATTTACAGGACATTGTGATATGCACTTTTTAACCAATCGGAGAGGTCACTTAGATGAATTAGAACCAATCACTTTGTATGTTTCACTGGTGTATGTCGTCG